TAGGGGGGGGGGGGGGGGGGAGCTTCCGCGCGCAGCCGCGACGAGGAGCAGCTGGTCACGTCAAGAGGCGAGGGAGGAGACTCACCCGATGAGGAATGGGAACAAGGCCGAGGCCACGGTCGTCAGGGGTGGGGGGTGGCGCCTCGCCTCGGTCAAAACACCCTTGGCTTCGCGATGCTCAATCGGTCCAAAGGGTCCGGAATCGATCAAATACACCAAAGCCCGCACCACACGTCGCAAATCGACAAAGTCAGTCGTCGGGCACCCACGGGCAGATCAATCGGTCACCGTCACCAGATGCCCCGCGCTAAATAGCGAGAGAGAGAGAGAGAGAGAGAGAGAGAGAGAGAGAGAGAGAGAGAGATGAAGAGAGAGAGAGAGAGAGAGAGAGAGAGACCTTCCTTGAGAGCTTTTTCCTTGAGAGAGCTTTAGAGATAGAGAGGAGAGAAAAGAAGAGAGAGCTTTTGCTTCCTGAGAGAGCTTTCGAGGAAACAGAGAGATTCTGTGTGTTTCTTTTGTTCTAGGGTTTCTCTGACTCGCTGGTATCTCGTCGCGCAATGTCTGTATCTCTATCTTCGCCTTTACCCATCGCTTTAGCCCCAGTTTTGAACTTGGTCGTTCTCTAGAAGCGTATTCATTTCTGTTCGTCTCTCTGCCTTCGCCGCCAACTTCATCTCTCAATAATTATGTTCGCTTTTTTCGGTCTTTCAAGAGGGAGGGAAGGATGAGTGAAACGACCAGAGAAAGGTGCATTACGTCCAAATTCCGGGAAAAAAACATGCTGTGTTACCCATTGTCATCAGAGATGTTGCAGATGAGCAGGCATCTGAAAGAGGGAGCTTTCAAATGTGGGTTGGACTTGAATAAATTGACTTCCAAATTGTGAGGGAATGGCAGCGGCCGGCCACAAGAACAAGATCAACACAACATGCGAATGGGATGCAGCACGACTACCAATGGTCCATGCTATTCACATACACTGAGGGTTTCAACCGTGCCGTGTGCCTCCCATAACTCGTGGTGATGATGCAAAAGCCAAGTCCAGCTCACGCTCGACAGGCTCAACGCCCTCTGGTCGTTTCCAGTTCTGGTGAGTCGGGCGTGCACCAAGCTCGTCTTTGCCTCATCCCTGCCTCATCCCTGCCGCGTCACTGCCTCCCTCGTCACCGCCTCGTTGCTGCTGCCTCTGTGCCCGCACGATGCCTCTCCCGCCCAGGACCCAGGACACCTCGCCAGGCTGCCGTTTGGACTTGCCGCAATGTATGGGGGGTTTGGTGTCTTTGTTCAGTACATAGTTGTCATGGTCTCGGATCACGTCCGCTATGGGCCACTCTTCGAGGGTATGATCACTGATGGCATGCTCGCGTCCCTCGAAAGACGCCACAACATACCGCCACCCAAGACCAGCCAAGACCAACCCATAGATCGCACGTCACCAAGGCAGTCAGTGCCTCCCCCCGGCCTTCCCCGGCTTCACGGCGCTGCCATTTGCACCACCCCCCTTTCTGACTGCGGAGGACACATTGTCAGCAGATTATCGCCGCCCACACGCGTTTTATGTTGCTTGCAAGCCAACTTTGCTAGGTCGACCGCGCGACCTCGTTTGGCTCGCGGAATAAAAGATCTGGATCAGGTCAACCCTATCAAGTGTAACATCTAACACACTATTTGAAGTGCAAAGTGAAGCTTTGTGTGTCAGATGATGGCCTTTTTCATGCAAATTATTTAATCCGTTTTTCGGTTTATCTACGATAGACCTTACTGAGCGATAAACGAGCCTGGGCAGCATCGCATCACGCCGTCCAATCTCTTGCAATTGGGTTGGTTGTGCAGAAACGACACTGGGTCGAGCGCCTCGCGCGCCAACGCGCATCCGAGCACTTCAACGCCAAGCGTGACCAGTCCTCTGTTGGTAGCGTCACGTCAAGTCATCAGTCATCGATCAGCCTCGTTTGGTCTTCAAAGTGACATAGATTCGCCCCTGATGAGCTTGTGATGATTTTTCTGTTTTTCAGTTCCTTAATGAGAGGGGGTGGTCGGCGGGGGTTGCCACCAAACCGTGCTTCGTCGACGTGTGCCCGGTCCCGACGATAACGTGCCTGGAATGGTTGCGTGAGGAGGAGCAGCAGCAAAGGTCAAAATTTACTCTCCATCATAGAGACATCCATAAAAGAGATCTATGAGCAATTTGCAAACTCCGATACAGACTCGGACCGAGTTCGTGTGCGACTCTGCAAAACCATGGTATAAATCAATTCACATTTGTCAACGATACACACAAAACGTTCAACAACAGCACGGCACAACGTGCAGCGAGTCCAACTCTGAGCCGGGCTCAAGCCCCACGATCAATTGCACCAATTTCACAATTATCCAAGCTTTCGTCTCAAGCAGCGCGCCTCTAGCAAGCGCCCGTTTGAGCTCTCTCACAATTCTCTGTCCTGACCTGTCCTGGGCCGCTCCCGCACTTGTTCACCTTGCAACGGGGCAGTCGTTCACCCAACCAAACACCCCTTCTTCAGACCCCACATACCGCCGCACATGCATCGAGCCGAATGCATCATGCGCGTGAAGTGCCCTTGCGGTAAGGCGTTAAGAGTGTAAAGGAAAAGTCCGTTCCCAAGGCTCGGAGCGCCTCGACCATCTCCTCCGGGGTGTAATTGCTGCCATACGTCCGGTTGTCAATCGTAAATGGGTGATTGAACGTGGGGCGGGACATCATCACGTGGCAAATTCTGGCCCCAGCCCATCCAATACACGTGGCACGTGGCGGGAAGCAAGATCAAGATCAAACCACAAAAGAAGCAAATGAGCACTGACGCGTTTCTCCCATGCACCCAGCATTCAAACGACCACCAGAACACGTACCGCTCAGCCGTGACAACAGAGATCACGTAGGAACGTGGCGGGTCTTTAGAGCGGACCAGGAACAAGCCCACTTCACCACCGTATTGGTTGAGCAAACGCTCGGCCTCCTACGCCCCACAGCCCCCCAGGCAGCCATGATTGAGAGAAATCCAGGCATCATACTCACAAAGCCAGAAGATGGGCTCACCACACACGGGGCTCTATAGATCTAGGATTCCACGTCTCTGACATACCTGGCGGGACACCGAATCGACATTGTAGTCGGCTGGGAGCCACGGCCCACTGGTATCCACCACGGGAGGCACACTCTCATCCTGAGGCCGCGGCGGAAGAGGCGGGGGCTACAGAACAATCGCCAACAAAAAAAATGAGCACCGCGTACTGGCCCGTAACGTGCACGCAAATAGTTGTGCGCACGTTCTCGTAGTCATCAAGGGCATCATCATCACTATCGCTGACAAACTCCTCGCGTGCCGCCTACATGGTCCCGGCCCCGACCCAAGTAGTAGCCAGTGAGATATGGAAATGAGACCTTGTCATCAAGCCTTTTGCCATTTGTTGATCCGATAACGCACCACGATCGTATGGGGCGAGCTGGAGAGCGGGGTGCTTGCTGGCGATTCAGCACGCAGCCGCGAGCCCGACTGGGAGCGGCTCATGGCCGGCGTGGATGAGCTCGAACGTCGGGCCGGCAGCGCCGGCGGCACAACTGTGTCGCAGACACAGAACAAGAAGTAAAATGCAGATTGGTAAGTTGCGAGTCATGCTTGCTCAGTCAAGCCCAGGCACGGTGGCCGGGTGCATCGCGTTTTCAAAGGGGGCCAACTCACGTCCGCCTGATGTCGGGGATGCCAAGGACGGTGGGCGGTTTGGCAAAGGGGGTGGCGCGTTGACGTTAATGGGTCGTGAGGGCAGTGGCGGCAGAGCTGTTTCCATCGTGTCACTAAAACTTTCCACATCGGCATACTGCTTCTCGTCCTTGTCCCTACGCGCAGTACGGTCACGTGCCACCGCAAGTGAAAAAGCAAATCAATAAATAAAAGTGGCATAATCAACAACTTGTTGTCCACGCGCCGCCATCTGCTTGGTACCACACTCACGTGAACTCGAGGGACTTGATGGTGTCGCTGTTGGTAAAGGCACCCCACTCGCGCGACTTTTCCGGCAACGGGGGCGGCTGTGGGAGGAAAATCAAGCGGGATCGTCGCAGAGAAAAAGTCAAGCAGGGGTGGGACTGAGCGGAGGCCAGAGACGCCTTTGGAGGGGAAATTTGGCTGGGGCAAACATACCTGGGCGACGTCACGGTTGGCGTCTTGGCGTGAGAGCTTGCGCTGCTCTTGCAGGAAGCTGTCGAATGACACTTCCGTGTTGCGGAGAGGCGACCCACGCATCTCCTCAAGCTGGCGTCGGGTCTCCTCCTGCTGCCGCACCTCAGCCTCGACACGCTTGCGCTGCACGTCCACACCATCTTGGCGGTTAATGGTGGTCCAGCGAGCCTGACGCAGAGAAGCCCGTTGATGTTAGCAACAAAAAGAAGAGCGAGAGGTCGGGCACCGAGGCAGAGGGCATGGCAAAAAGGTGAAATTGTGCTTACAGGTCCAAGAAACTCGAGAGTTTTATCGTATTGATTGTGATAGGCGGCTGGGATGAGGGCCTTGATAGCCGGGATGAGGCTGCATTTGGACTGAGTGTTGACAATCTTGGGCAGCTCCGTGGCCAGCATATCAAATGCCTACTCGATAGATGCAGTGAGTCGTCGCAACCACGGATAAGGAGAGAAGAGAAGAAGAGGAGAGGCGAGGAGAGAAGAAGAGAAGAAGAGGAGAGAAGAGAAGAAGAGAAGAGAAGAGCAGAGAAGAGAAGAAGAGGATACGATGCAGAGGTTGTGTGGGCCGGTTAGAGGCGACTTGGTGCTGGCACGATGCGGTCGCCGACCTTGGTTGTGACAAAGTTGGCCAGAATCTGCTGCAAGTGCTTGCGCTCGGGAGGACTCAGCAACGCCTTTTGCAGCCGCTTGTAGTAAGCGATGGCCGCCCGCTGCAGGCGAATGCAAGGGCAACCCATCAAAAGCAATCGATCCACAAAACACGGGTTAATTGTTCAGCCTTGTAGCGAGATCAGGCACGGATCGAGCGGTCGTTGTTGTGCCTTGGACGCGCACCTGCGAGTAGGTCTGCTCGTCGGCCATGGTGCACACGCCCCTCCCCAATGGCAGTCCGGCTGCCACAAGAATTGTCATGAGCAAGAGCAGTGGCACGCACGGACGTGTACATCGCATTGGACCGACAGAACATGTGTCCCTTCCTGGATCCTGCTGTGTTCTGTCGGTGCCGGCGCGGCCGAATGACAGGCGCCAGCGGCTGTCAATCTAAACGTACCGTATCTTAATGGCTTGACTATCAAATGGCTCCTCAACGTACAGAGGCAGAGGGCATGTGAGCAATCCTCCCGGACAGCAGTCAATCTGGATCAGGATCCTTAAAAAGCTGGCCACCTGAGAGAGAGAGGCAGACGAGCGAGAGAGCAGAGAGAGCAGAGAGAGCAGAGAGCAGAGAGCAGA